TTTATCCCTAAATATGGACATCAGTGTTCCAGCCAAATGACTGCTGGCCTCCTGTCTTAAATATCTGCTGCTACTCAACATTAGCCCCTTGCGATGCCATTAAGTATAACTATTTGGATTTCTCTGGTATCCCTACAGTGTTTACAAGAGTTATAGATCTATGTTACTATTCAAGGGAAACATGAGTTGAAGTCTTTTCCTCGGGTTACCATATTTGGGCTACAAAAATCCAGATGATTGGTTGTTAAAAACAAAAGGATACAGAAAGCTATCTTCACCATCATCTTGTGATTATCTGGATTTGTTGCAGCCTGAATTATAGTAGTGCTAATTTGGGGTGGGGTGGGGGACATTTTTCTCCACCCACGGTATCAAGCTAACTCCAGAGCTGAAGGACTAACAAGAAGATTAACACTGTGATTATCCAGTGCTACATTTTTGCTTTCTAAATTCAGAACCCTAAGGACACCAAAGGATTTCATTCCTGTAACAGGAAAGTTTGAAAGGGCATATCTTTTTCCTAAAGGTAAATATACTGTTCTGATCAAGTTTTCATCTGTAATACAGTATAGCTTCCTAAACACCACAGGAGCTTATTTTCGGAAAGCGATGCTATATTGTGATAAGCATACAGTCATTATCATTTAATTCTTGGAGGAGTAAAGCCAGATTGATCACTGGAAGAATTACTAATAAAGCTAAAGATTAAATATATTGAACATACTGCTTAATATACAGAGGAAAGTATCATACTATTAGCTCCATGTATTCCTACGGCACACAAAAGTTTACCAACGAAATTGCTAAAAGGTCAGCATCTAGTCATAAGTCACTTTCTGACAGCCACCTGCTTGTAAAGCAGGTCTGCACAACAGTCTGCCAAGCAGACTTGTGTGATCCTCCGGGGTTTTATCAAGACAACAAATTCACCGCCACCCCAAAAAGCACATTGCTGAATGCCCCCAACACCACCTAGCCTCACTGCTGAGTCTCCTCGAGCACAGCCACTGTTCTGCTAGTTGCAGAACAGCTGACTATCATCCCAGGCATCTCTTTGTGGCTCTGTGATCATTTTTTAATTAATCAGTGGGGTTCTTCTTTAGGTTTTGCAAGCCTCTTCTAATGTATGAGACCATGGAGAGTCCTTCTGAGTTGTCTGCATACAGCAGAGAGAAAAATGGGTTTCACATTTTATGAGGACAGTATATTCTCTGGCATGTTAAAATGGAAAGCCAACTTGTAAAGGATACAAGTGACTTTCATTGTTGCCAGGTACTTCCAAAGTCTGCCTATCTGTAGCCACAGGGCTAAGGGAAGGGTAGACACAGTTTTTGAGCACAAATACTGATAAACAAGGCCAAGCAATACTGTCAAGTATCACTTGCCAAAAACCTACTGGCTGCTTCTTTTTCAAATAAGAATGCTTCCTTTTGCAATAATTTCTACATGGCTGGAACTTCTTTCAGCTTACTAGAGAAATTGACAAACCCATTCAATTATTCAGTGCAATAATGTTACTCAGCTTATGACTATGGAAATATTACTAAAGTTTTTGAACTATATCATTCATTTATGTATATATACAGAAACATGCAATATTTCACTGGTTCTAACCATAGAGATTCTGTGCTGGTTAAACAGTATATAGTTTGGGAATTAGAGCCGTCCCCTTAAGGGAATGCCTCATGGGAAATGTAGTTAATGCCTCATGGGAGATGTAGTTCATGTCATGTGGTCACACCTGTACTCCTAATTGGTCACTGAATTGACCTCTGGTTGAGTTGGAGGGAGTTTAGTTCATTCCTACCTGGACCCCAGCATCGTGCTGGAGTCTTCCTTCGCTGTATCATTATGGGATGAAGATAACTATCATTTCACATTATGAAGACGACAGTGCAAAGATTGGACATTAGATGAATCTCAACCTAACTGTGAGTTATACCTTGAGGATGCCTGATATAATCCAATAAAGAAACTTTGTATGGAAGTCTTTGTAGTGTTTAACTCCTTATCTCAGGTATTTTGAGAAGATAAATATTGCCTGAGACAAGAACAGATCCAGTCACATTAGGCAAAATTCTGTCTCTCTGAAAAAGTCTTTAATGCTGGGAAAGGTGGAAGGAAAGAGAAGAGGAAATCTACCAGCAAGGTGGGCAGTCTCAGTTAGAGTAGGGATGAGTGTATGACTGGGAGATCTGAAAGAACAGATTAGAGATTGATTGTCCAAGCAGATATCAATTTCGTTGCTAGAAGTCAAAAACAATTTGATGGCTAATAATTAATAAAAACTATACAAATTATATAAACCAAAATCCTATAAGAACAAGCCCAAATAAATTGGAAAGCCACATATTTCCTTTTCTTCCATCTTCACAAGGAAGTTTATGAGATACCCAGCACAAACACTAACACTTGTCTTCAAACAAAATGAATCTGAAACTTTTTGAGTGGGTATGTTGAAGATGATGAAGTACAACAGGGAACACAATTTATCCAAGTTATTCCTCATACTTATTAAACTATGTTTTTATTAAAAGAGGGCCAGAAAATTATAAGGATAATCTGCAGCATGGCCCTAATCTTATTTCCAAAGGAGATGCTTTAGAGACAAAAGTTTGTATTGACACTCTTAATCAGCCCATGGCAAGGGCTGAACTTCGTAGCTTTGGGGCCAGCCAAATTAGTTTTGAAGTTGGTCTTTTCAAGTGTTCTAATTACAAAAAGTAAATGGGGCAGGAAAAGAATAATTATCTATAAAGACAGGAAATTTATTTGCAATTACTACTTAGATAGGAATTTATCAGGCAGGAAGGATGCACATTGTGTTGGAAGAAACAGCAGTTGTGAGACAATTCCCCAAGAACGCTTTTACTGTCTCTTGGAAATGTGATTAATCCAGCCTGTTTTCATGGTAATCTTGGGACCAGTTCATAATTATAGGTAGATGGGTTAGCAAAACAGAGCTGACAAGTGATTTCTTCATCATATATACGCACATATTGCAACCAAAGTATAGGAAATTCTCATCGTGCTACAGAAAATATTGCCTAGATTAACATACCAGAGTTACAAAAGAAAAATGCTTAAGTAATCACCCAATCATGTTTTCATATAATTTAACATAAGCATTGGCCACAGCTTTGTGACTTCAGTAAATAAAATATCATCCAGCATTTCAGTAGAAGTTTAATGACGAGTCATTCCTTTTACCAATTAAGCTTTTAACAAGAGAAAGTGGCACTATTGTGTCTAAAACAGAAATGATAAACCAGTCCCTTTATATACACGACCAGTTCCAGAAACATCAACATTCAATTTTCTTCATTTGGGCTATTTTAAAGTTGAATTAATTCAAGTCTAAACAAACCAATGATTGGTTTTTCCCATTATTACTCCATTATTCTCACTCAAGTATGCAAACTTACTCACCTCCCTAGAACTTCTGAATAAGCATGTACAAGCTTGTCATCCTATATGCAGCACATTCTACAATTAAAATAAAACAGCCTGCTACTGTATAAAGAATAGGATTTATCAGTTTGAAAATATCATCATAATCCATGATCTGTTGGGGTCATCCTTTCAGAAATATTTCCTCAACTAAATGGAGCACCAGAATGACCATGGGAAGCAAACAAGCAGAGGGAGCAGGAACAACTTCTGATTTCCTATTGGCTTCCCCATTGACTTTGCTTGTGGGAAGTTGTTAGGGACCATTGGAAATCATTCTTCTTCCTTGGCTGACTGCGGAACTGCCTGCCACTTTGCTGGGAGAGAGGGAGTAATGGAACGGCCATGGGTGGGCAAAAGCGTAGTATTAACAGATTTCTGATTTCCTGCTGGCTTCCAAATTTATATTACTTGTGGAAAGCTGGCAGGGAACATAAGAAATAACTCCTTCTTTCTCAGTTGATCTGCAGAACTGCTTTGTGATTTTTCTGAGGTGAGGGGAATAAAGGGAACTGTGGACCAGAAATAAAACTGCACCTTACTCCCCAATTCCCACCCTGACATGTCCCCAAGTAGCCCCTCCCTACAAGAAAAAAGACTTGCCCATTGACTGATGGTGCCCGCAGCAAACACCAAAGATGCTCCCTCAGCCTTACCTCACTGCCACCACCATTAAGAGATTTCAAATTTCAACCTTGATTCCAAAGCAGCTACCTTTATTGTGCTACAGACATGATGCTAGCAAATATTGCACTGCATCTTTATTTGCACTGTATTAAAAGCAGGAGTTGGTACATTCTTCCTGCCACTTGAGTCTTGGCACCAACAAACTGGGTGCAGAGGAGGCAGAAAAGAGGGTATGCTGCCCTAATTTTCCCTCGAGTCATGCAACCTACGGGTTTCTGGGAAGTATAGATAGAAGGCACTGTAGTGTTGGAAGCAGCCACAACTTTCCAAAATTTCAATCCACCAAGAGTCATGGATCTTGGCATTCTGTAAGTTAACAAATTTGAGTTTATCTGGGCTTGTTTACCCTCAAGCTTCCCATTTCCCCCAAATTGAAGGTTACAAATAAACAGATCCAAGGGTTGTAGTAGTATACACTGCAAACACCTGAGCATGAAAAATGCAGTTACTTTTCTGAAATAATTACTTTTCTGTGTTGCCCTGCTAAATTTTGCAGAGTTCAAGTTCAGAACAGGCCTGAATAGCAGCATAAAACAAGGATTGTTCAAAGGCCCTATGATTTGGCAGATTTCCTAAAATTTGCTGACCTCAAACACTGAACAAGGGTAGCCTGGAAAGTAGTTTGTCCTTAGTAAAGCCCAGAACATAAGGGGTTAATCTTAGAGGGAGTGTGTATATGCATAACCAGGAGTGGGGAGCGGGGGAGAGGAAGGATAGAACCAATGAAAACACTGAGCTATAGTTAGCTCCGGTAGGATAAACTGTGGAGATTGTTCCAGCAAAGCTTTCATCGATGACATATGCACTTTGTCCCCCAGCGCCTACTGCGTTTCAGCCCAGACAAGACATTGGACGCGGCTTACCTGAAGTTCGCACCAAGCAACCTCAACCCACGTTTCTGTGTCCAGCCCCTTATAGACCGTTTTGAAAGATCCCCTGCCAAGTTCAATATCAAACTTTAGGAACCGGCCATCGGGGGAGGTGGCCACCGCTTTCATATCGGCCTCCTCCTCCTCTTCTTCGGCCTCCTCTTTCTTGGACTTGCCCTGGTCCTTGGAAGGTTCGGACACTTCTTTTTTCCCGGCATCCTCCTTGCCGCCGCCCTCCTTCGCCTGGTCACCTGCCGAGAGCCTCTCGGCGGCCACCCCTTTCACCTGGCCAGCGGGCTCCTCTCCCGGCCGCGTCTCTTCCACCACCACGGGCCTCTGCCCCGCTTTCGCCCTCTCGGCGATTATCCGCCTGGTTTTGGAGAGGATGAGGATCTTCTTGGGCTGTTGTTGCTGCTCCGGCTCCGCGTGCTCAAAGGGGGGCTCCTCCTGATCGGAATCCACCACACTCCTCCGCAGAAAGCGCTGGTGGGCTGTTTTGGGATTTTTGGCGTAAGGCACACGGGGAAAGGGGGCGGGGGCCGCGGTTCTGCCTCCTTTCGGCACTGCAGCAGGATCCACGCCGCCACCGCCTCTTCGACTAGCGCTGCCTGGCTCATCATCCATATTCATATCCTTTCCCCCCGCAGGAGCCGGTGGGCGAGCGGCGGCCGCTTGGAAACCGGCGGTTTCTGCTACACCAGCAGTTGCTAACTCGCCGTCGCCGCCTCCCCTCCGCGGAGGGGCTGTGCTGGCATCGCCCCCAGTTTCCATTACAACCGAGCTTTCGGCGGCTGCTGGAAAAGATGGTGCCGCTCCCGCCGCCCGAGATGCTGTCCCCGCTTTGTGGCAGTCATCACGGTGCATCCTCGTGCGGAAACTCAGCCGAAGCAGCTGTGAGGCAAAACAAAAAGCAAAGGCGCTTGGATCTGACGTTGCTGCCCAACTCACCTGGCCAAGAAGGCGGCGGCGGCGGCGGCGGCGGCGGCCGCCACCTGCCCCGGGAGCTTTGCTGCCCGTTCCTCCTTTCCTCTCCCACCAAAGCACTCCGAGGTTCGGAATCCTTGCCCGACCCCGCCTGCCTCCTAAAGCCCTCACCGCCTTTCCTCGCCCGGCCCCGAGGGGAACGGAAGGCTAAAATGCAAGCCCTTCGGCGCCTGGTTCTCCGCCGGTGTTAGAAAGACCGGGAGCGAGGAAGCCTCTTATGGAACTGGGTGGGGAGGAGGGGAAAGAGCGCCTTCAAGGGAAACCGAACGACTGCAGTTCCACCCCAGGATGAATTGTCCGACTGAAAGGCAGGTCGCCACGCCTTTCTAAGGGTAGTTCAGAGCCCCCCCCTCCCCAAAATGCCAGGCACCGGCTGCCGAGGCGCACCCCATAGAAACCCAGCTTTCTGGAGGGTCTTTCCAACGCGTCCCCGCCCCTCTCCGGCTATCCCTCAAGGATGGAGTCTTTCCCTCCCCCCTAGCCCTTTTCATAGGGAAACCCGGCCCCCCAGCCCGTTTTCCCTCCCTCCGAACACATCCTCGCCTGAAAGCCCCCAGACGCTCACGCGCTCCGTCCTCGTCTGCCCGCTTTCAGCCACCCTGGGCGGCCGCCTCCCCCGCCCCTTTTGCCCACTTCAGTCATACTGCAGTTCCTCGCCGGAAAGCCGTATTGTGATTGAAAGCCGGATATGGCTAATAAAGCCTGAATTAGGGACCTTCGGCGTTTGCTCGCACAAGCCCCGAAGTGCAGCATTAAGGCTTAAGAACTCCACTTAGAATTGAGGGGTGGTGGTGGTGGTGTTTTTTTGCCCCGCCCGACTAGGGGCGCTTTTTCCTCCTTCCGAAATCTCTGCCTTAGATAAGCGCTAGCCACGCAAACGGGGAGGCCCGGCAACCGCGGCAACGGAGGCGAGAGGCTGCGCTGCCGCGTCCTCGCAGCTTGAGAAAAAGGAGCGGGCGTCGGCCGAGAGGCGCGCCGGGAGCGATCCACAGCAGCTGACGGGAGTTGTTGGCCGGAAGGCACCTGCGGGCGGTTCGACCCAGCACAGCGGGTTCAGGTGCACAATGGAGGCGGCTCACCTGCGGCCCGGCCAAAGGGCGGGAGGAGAGGAGCTAGCTCGACCTCGCCGACAGTTACTTACGCGGAGGAGACGAGCCAGCCATATTCAGAGCCGGCGGTGGAGTCTGGCTGCCGGAGGCTGGCAAAACAGCTGAACTCTGCCGTCCTTGCCAATCATGGAATCTTCCTTCTCCACCTTTCCAGGCCGGGCTCCCGCCTCCCGAGCGCCTCTGCGTCTAAGCTCTGGCCTTTCAAATCCTGCGGGGCGCCTCTTCCCCGCGCAGCTCCGCGCGGCGTCCGCTGTCCTGGCGTCCCAGGCAGGAGCGGGCCACCGTCGGCGAGGTTCTGGGGAAGGAGCAATCCACTCGCGTAAATAGCGCGCCTCCCTGTGGCCCGTTGAACCTGTTCCGCAGGCCAGCTTGCCGGCAAGCGCTCCCAACCACCGCTTCCGCCCCTCGGCGCTTTCCGAAATCGGGCTTTCCTTTCTAATGATGCCCCATTTAACGGACCGACCGGGAGGCACGGGAATCTCTGAGCAACCAATGAGAAGGCCTCGGAGGAGGCGGCCCTTGTTAGATCCGCCCTGCGTCGCGGGGGAACCAAGAGCAAGTCGGTTCCCCCTTCTCAGTTGCTAAGAGTGTATCCCCGACCTCCCCTCCCCTCCCCTCCTCCCTCCGCGTTTCTGCAAGTCAAGTAAGTGTGTGTGTGTGTGAGAGAGAGAGAGAGAAAGAGAGAGATGGGGGGGGGGGGGAGAGGGAGAGAGTGCTTTGCTTCAAGCTGAAGCCAAATGTTGCGCATGTCCTCCATCGGAGCTGCAGCCCACATCCTTCTGTGGCTGAAAGCTAGAAAGGAATATGAGCGCTGGGGATGCTAGGAGATGCACAGAAGGAGCTAGAACCAGTCCTGCCAAGATGTTGACACGAGGAGGTGTGTCTGTAGGGGAAGAAACAAACCATCTCTAACCTGGTTCCTTCAGTATGCTTGGATTGCAGCTCCAATTATGGCCTTAGTGGGTGGGGATACTGGCCACATCAGAGCTATCATATTGGCTCTAGGAACAGAGTAAGAAGGGGGTTGTTTTCTTCCCCCTTTCTGGAGGCCTCTGTAGCTGCTGAGTATGGTTTCCATGCAAGCAAATGCTCCAGGGAATTTGCTAGGCAGAATCTTGTTTATACGTTTTCTTGGCGGAACCTTTCTCCCCAAATAAATGTTTTAAAACACCTGCAGTTCATCCTGCTCCTCATTCATTCATTCACTGTTTCCATTCATTTCATCCACTTCGTTTCCTGCACATGATATGAAAAAAAAATGAATAAACAGTCAAGGTGTTGGGAATGATCAGATCCTGCTGGAATAGTATGTGGTCTCTCATGTATTGTAGAGTTTGGTTTCTGAGAATGGAGACGGAAAAGGAAACTGTTCCAGATATCTGCAATGTTTTTCATAATAAAGGAAGAACTTCTTTCCATAGTAACAATCCTTTTTAACGTCGATGTTCAAAATAGGAAAAAAAAATTGAGCCCACAAGCTCATCTTGCATGTAATAATAACATATAACATTATGCTTTATACTTCTGTTTTGACAAAGGGAGAACTCTCAAACAATTTGTTCTGAGGCTTTCTTGTGTCTACGTATATCTACATGCCCATCACACAATTCCTTTATGAGTTCAAGAACCTTCTGCAGAGTGTAGAAAAGGAGTAAGAAACATTAAGGCAAAGAATTAAAGGCAGGGGATAAAGAAAAAGGAGACATATATCACTTTATAATGCCTTGGTAAGACCACACTTGGCATATTGCATCCAGATTTGGTCACAATATAAAAAAAGATGTTGAGATTCTAGAATAAGTGCAGAGAAGAGCAACAAAGATGATTAGAGGACTGGAGGCTGAAACATAACAGCTACAGAAATTGAGTATGTCTAGTTTAGTGAAAAGGACGACTAGGGGTGATATGATGGCAGTGTTCCCATATCTCAGGGGCTGCCACAAAGAAGAGGAGGTCTATTATCCAAAGCATCTGAAGGCAGAACAAGAAGCAGTGGATAGAAACTAATCAAGGAAAGGACCAATCTAGAAGTAATGAGAAATTTTATGGCAGTGAGAACAATTAATCAGTGGAGCGACTTGCCTCTAGAAGTTCTGGGTGCTCCAACACTGAAGGTTTTTTTTTAAAAAAAGATTGGACAACGTTTGTCTGAAATGCAGGGGTGGGATTCTACAGGTTCACACCTATTCTCTAGGACCGGTTGTTAACATTCTAAGCAGTTCGGAGAACTGGTTGTTAGAAGACATTACTGGCCTAATCCTGTAAGGAAGGCAGAAAGGAAACATTCTGGTGTTGCTTACAGAAACTGCCTCTCCGTTAACTCTTTATTACATTCTTGGCAGGACTAGACTTTCTATCTCAGGATCATCTCTGGAGTTTTTCCCCCTCCTTTCCTGGTATTTTGCTTGTGTGGAGTGTCCATTCAAAGTTACAATGGCACTGAAAAAGTGACATGACCATTTTTCACACTTACGACTATTGGAGCATCCCCACAGTCATGAGAGGCCAGGCGAGGAGATATGTGCCTCGATGTGAGTGATATTGAGTTGGCCATACCCAGCCAATAACATGACCATCAAGCCACATCCACCCAGTCACATGACCACCCAGCCACGCCCACCACCTAAGCCACGCCCACAGAACCGGTTGTTAAAAAATTTGAATCCCACCCCTGCTGAATGGTACAGAGTTTCCTGCCTGAGCAGGTGGTTGGACTTCCAACTTTGTTTACTGTTGCGATATGACACATCAGTAGGAAGTCACGTACACAGACAACCC